TTTTTTAAAAGTAAATCAAGGTGGTCAAATTTCTGTAGAGCAGAGAAGAGGGTAAGGAGAGGGTTGGAGCATTACTATGTTTCTGTATCCTACAAAATGGAGAGTCAGTGTTCCATGAAATTTGAAATAGAGATTTAGCTATTGTGATAAAAATTTTAAAAGTGGGGGCAGCATTTACCTATGGACCAAATTCAGAAGTGTTGGGAAAGAAGGAGGAAGGGAAACAAAAATCACAGGGAGGAAGTAGGGCAACTGACAGACAGACAGACAGACGTTACACAAAGGGAATTGCCTTCATGGAAGGAAATGAAGTGTATGATTTGTTAAACATGAAACTGACAATCTGCTCTGTAAACCTTCATCCAATTTAGAATAAAAAAGTACCTCAGAAATCCTATTCAGGGTCACTATGAGTCAGAACTAACTCGGTAAAGTTAGGGAGCCTTGGCGGTACTGTAAGACTAGCATTGAACTGCTAATTATAAAGTCAGCAGTTCAATCCCAACAGCTGCTTTGGGGGATAAAGATGACGCTTTTTCCTCCAGTGAAGATGTACAGCCTTGCAGATGAGTCGCTATGAGTTGGAATCGACTGGATGGCAGTGGGTTTGATGTGTTGAAGGTAAGGTTAAGGCGCCCTGCTGGTGCTGTGGTTAGGCCATATGGTGTTATGGTCAAATATTAAGAATTCAAATCACATAGCTTCTGCATAGTGAAAAAAAATCTTATTATAGATTCCACAACAACACCTCCATATTGCAGAAAGACTTCTAAATTTTGACCGAGATGTCACCTGTTTCAAATAATGCGACATAACAGTAAAATAAAAGCAAAACCTTTTAAAAGCCCTTGGAGCTAGTTATAGTGAGCTAACAACATGGCACTTTGTATTTAACTGTGTGTTATTTTATGGTTGTTGTGTCTAATCTGATGTGTTACTGTGTCTAACCTGATCATCTGGTGCCTAACATGCATACGTGGATTTAATTCTAAGATGACTCTTCCTTCACAAGAGATGAATCCTGTCAAATGTGAACATTATTTTCACATTAGGAAACTGGTGAGAGCTGAACATAAATTGTAGCCCTTAACACTTTTCATAATCTTTTGTTATTCTAGTGTTAACTCATGAAATGGCTCTTATATATGCCTATCATGTTATGAAATTGGGGTAGAAGGAAGGATGGAGTGAGATTCGAGATTCATGGTTATGTATCTTTAAATGTCAAAATAAAAATAGTTTTTTCAACATCTTTAAATGATAAAGTTGTCTTTTTTTCCTTTTTTTAAGCAAGCCATTTTGTGAACAGTTGTGTTGCAACTGCATTGCTAATTTGTGAATGAAAAGTTAAACAAAGACAATTACTTTGTGACAGTCACTTGACTATATCCTGGAAAAATTGTATGCATCCATAACTACATTTCAATAGTTAATTAATTGGTGGCTGTAGGAGCTCTGGTAATCTAGTGGTTATGAAACGGACTGCTAACCTCAAGGTCGGCAATTTGAAACTACCAGCTGTTTCACTGGAGAAAGATGAGGCTTTCTGCTCCTGTAAAGATTTACAGCCTTGGAAACCCTGTACAGGGTCACTATGAGTCCAATCCGACTCCACGGTACTTAACAACAACACAGCAGCTTCAGAATCCTGGTGTGGCACTCTAGGATAAGCATTGGACTGCAAGATTGGTTTGAACTTCAAGGTCAGTGGTTCAAGTCCA